CCTCCTTCTCTTTCTTCTTCTTCCTTTCTTCCTCCCTTCTTCCCTCCCTTCTCCCTCCCTTCTTTCTTCCTTTCTTCCTGCCTGCCTTCCTGCCTTTATCTCTTTCTTTCTTATGCCCTTTAACAGGTTGGGGCACTTCCCCTCTATTCACAATTTTCTGAGAGTTTTTATTACGAATGAATGTTAAATTTTATTAAAATCATTTTCTATTGAATTGCATCCCCATGGTAAAGCCCACTTGCTCATGGGGTTTCATTGTTTTTGTCTAATGATGGATTTGATTTTCTAATATTTTGTTGACGATTTTTGCACCTATGTTCATGAGGTATATTGAATTGTAGTTTTCTTGTCTTGTACTGTCTTTGTCTGTTTTTTTCTGGAGATTTGTTTTTTCTGGAAGATTTTTAACTACAAATTCAATTTCCTTAATAGTTAGGACTATTCATGTTATACTTTCATCTCAGGTGAGTTTTGGTAATTTATGGTGTTTGAGGAATTGGTCCATTTAAATTAGTTCATCAAACTTATGTACATAGAGTTGTTTGTATTATTCCTTTATTATCCTTTTAATGTCTGTATGCTTTGTAGTGTTATTCCCTCTTGCATTCATGATATTGGTAATTTGTATTTTCTCTCTTTTTTCTTTGTCAGTTTTTCAAGAAGTTTATCTGATTTATTAATTTGTCAAAGAACCAGCTTTTGGTTTCATTGATTTGCTGTATTGTTTTTTCTGCTTTCAATTTTATTGATTTTTGCTCTTTATTATTTCTTTCCTTCTGCTTGTTTTGGGTTTATTTTGCTCTTCTTTTTTTCTGGGTGATGGCTTAGATTATTGATCTGAGACCTTTATTATCTTATGTTATACACACTTAATGCTGTAAAGTCTCCTCTAAGCACCATTTTAGCTGCACTCCCCAAATTTTTTTTTTTTTTTTGCGGTACGCAGGCCTCTCGCTGCTGTGGCCTCTCCTGTTGCGGAGCACAGGCTCCGGACGCGCAGGCTCAGCGGCCATGGCTCACGGGCCCAGCCGCTCCACGGCATGTGGGATCTTCCCAGACCGGGACACGAACCCGTGTCCCCTGCATCGGCAGGCGGGCTCTCAACCACTGCACCACCAGGGAAGCCCCCCAAATTTTTATATCTCATATTTTCATTTCTGTTCAGTGCAAAACATTTTTAAATTTCCCTTGAGACTTTCTCTTTGACACATGGATTATTTCAAAGTTTGCTGTTTAATTTCCAAGTGTTTGGAGACTTGCCCATTATCATTCTGTCATTGATTTCAGGTCTAATTCTATTATGGTCAGAGGACATTCTTTATATAATTTTCAATTTGAAAAACTGTGTTCAGGCTTGTTTTATAACTCAGGTTATAGTATATCTTGGTAACTCAGGATATAGTCTATCCTAGTAAGTGTTCCAAGTTCAATTAAAAATAATATATATTATTCTGTAGTTGGGTGGAGTTTTCTATACATGTCAATTAGATCCAGTTGGTTGATGATGTTGTTCAGTTCTTCTATAACAGTGGTTTTCAACCGGTAGTGGTTTTGCCCTTCTTTCTCAGGGGACATTTGTCAATGTCTGGAGATATTTTTGATTGTCACAACTTGGGGGAAGATGCGGCTGACACGTAGTAGTAGAGACCAGGAATGCTGCTAAACATCTTACAGTCCACAGAACAGCCCATGTCCCCCACAAGAAATAATTATTCAGTCCAAAATGTTAATAGTTCTGAAGTTGAGAAACTCTGTTCTATAGCCTTGCTGATTTTTAATTTGTTTTTTCAGTTAAGGAGATAGGAGTGTTTGAGTCTTCAACTACAATTGTGAACCTGTCCATTTCTCCTTTCAGTTCTGTCAGTTTTTGCTTCATGTATTTTGAAGCTTTGTTATTAAGTTCATGCACATTTAGGATTGCTATGTCTTCTTAGTCAATTGACCCTTTCAGCCCATGTAACGTCCCTCTTTATCTCTGGTAATTTTCTTTGCTCTGAAGTCTACTTTGTCTGATAATAACATAGTTACTCCAGCTTTCTTTTGCTTAGCATTATCATGATGCATCTTCTTCCATCTCATTACCTTTTTTTTTGTTGTTTTCAAATAATCCTTTAGAGAAATATTTTCCTTTGTAGTTTTTAACTGGCTGTGCATTCTACTGTACCATTGTTGATGTCATCTATGATGCCATGAGGATGAAGGCCATCAAATCACAGCGCATTGACCAGTCAGTCCCCAGAACCTCTTTAATGTTTCTAGAGAGTTCTCTAGCTAAAGATCAGTGCTGCATCTGTCAAGCAATGTTGACAATCTCATCAAAAGTGATATTTCCACTGTGCTTACTGTTTGTCTGCTTCTTTCTGTCTCTGGGTGGTTCCTTGAGGACTTTGGTGGTCAGAGCAGAGGCAGAATGTACTACCTCAATCTGGGCCTCTTTGTTCTGAATGGTTTCTCTATAATCCTTAGACCCTTCCAGTAACCAGTTGTCTTGGTGATGTCATCACTAACATTTTTTGGAGACAGATCCAGCAGGATGATTTTGGGGGCCAGGGAAGATGTGGCACTGACTTCCTCACAGATGTACCTGAGGTTCATGACTTTGATCTCATTGAGGTCACACTTGGGTGGCATGACAGAGGCAGCTAGTGTCAGATGAACCCAGAGGTGGGAGGACAGAAGAGAGTTACACCTTGTCTTCCTTTGAGCTGAAAGTCTGAGCCAGTACTTTTATCCTGCCTATATCATTTTATTTGAAGTGAGTTTCTTGTTGACAATATATATTTGGTTCATGCTTTTCCTTCATTTTGACAAACTCTTCTTTTTATTTGGTTTTTTTAGACCACTTACACTTAATGTAATTATTGATATATTTGAATTTAAGTCTACTATTTCATTATTTGTTTTCTGCTTGTTCTCTCTTTTTTTTGTTGTTGTTTCTCTGTTTTCCATTTTCTGCCTTATTTTGGGCTATTTGAACTTTTTTTAGTATTCCATTTAAATTTATATATCACATTTTGGACTTTATCTCAGTATATTTTTGGTTATACTAGCGATTACAATAGCATAATTAAGTTTTCACAGTTTAGTTGGAATCAGTACTTTACCACTTCAAGTGGAATATATATTACCACCAGATTGGTCCCTTTATCCTTCACTTATTATGTTGCAGTTGTCTAATATATTACATCTACGTCTACATACTTGGAGAACCTCATCAGAAAATATCATAATTTTTGTTTTCCGTTGTCAAACATCTTTTCCAGAGCTCTACAGGAGAATAATAGCCTACTATATTTAGCACTTCTCAATATAACTCTTCAACAAGGGGCTTCTCCACATCACTCTGGCCCCCTGTTTCTTTCTGCACCCTCTCTCCTGTCCTCACATATAAGGAAGCCTGGATTTTCCATTTCCATGAGACAGGCCCTTATCCTGGACCTTACTAAACTCTCAGGACCTGTGGCTTAGAGTTATTAAAGGCACAGTTTCTGCTTGTGAATCAATCACAAGTGGTGTTGAAGGGACTTCCCTTTTCCTTTGGAGGCAGCAATAATAGAAACAAATACAAGTGTTCACAATTGTTTCCATGTAGCTGTCTACATTTTGTTGTCCTTAGTCAATGCCTACACCTGAAAATCCTCCAGGTCTTTGGAAAAGCAGGGAGTGGGGGACTAACATTTGTTGGAACACCTCCTTCTCATATATATGCATACCTCTATTAACAGAAGTGCCCTACGCAGCTCTGATGTAGTAGAGCCTCTATTGTCTCAGAAGCATCTCTCTCTTTTTACAGACACACACACGCATTTCATTCCTAAGCAGCACAGGTAATGTATATGTTTTCTCCTGGCCTGTTAGCTAGGAGACTATAGGCTCAGCATGTGAACACCAACTAAGGTGACCAAATACTTTATCGTGCAAGCCAGGATACTTTTGAAAGTGAAAGGGGATGCTACTACTAATGCCAAGACCTCATGAAGTGCCTCATAAACAGCACTGCAGCTGGGAATGAATGGCCGAATGTGATTTGGACACAGCTGGGAGAAACCAGTGGAAACAGCCTTGACCTCGGAGGATTTGAAGAGCATGTAAGAGCAACCCCCAGAGATGAAACAATTCAGCCATTCAGATCCCTGTCCCTGAACTAAAAGGGGTTTCCTTGAGTGCAATCTCTTCTCATATTCACAACCAGTCTACAAGGGAGGTGTTATTATCAGAGATAAAGAAATGGAGGCTTGGAGAGTGAATGCAGAATGTCTAAGATCCCCACAGCCAGAATTTCGTAGAGCTGACACTAGGACTTTGCCCTCTCTGATTCCACACACCAACCTGGAAGCCCCGTAATGTCATGGACTGCATACAGACTTTCACAGCAATGGATCGGGGCTCAAATCCCAGTTCCTGGTGCTATACCAGTTCTGTGACCTTAGCTGACCTGCATGATGACAGTAGCATTGTGAGAATAGGAGCTTATGTTTATGCATTGCTTGCCAAGCACCCTGCTCTGAGCTAAATGCTTTCCCCAAGTTATCACATTCACACCTCACACTAACCCCATCATGTAGGTACTCTTAGAAATCACAATTTGCAAATGAGGGAAATAGTCTGAAAGAGCCTGGAAAAGTCCCCACTGCATGGGAGATAATGAATATTAGTTCTCCTTCTCTCCTTACACAGGTCAGAGCACGATGCAGGTCCTGAACAATTCTGTTTCATGATATTGTTCTGGAAGATCTTAGGAGTGGTCCGTTCTCCTAATGAATGTGCCTCCTTCTCCAGTTTTTCTAAAGGCTCAAGGATTGCTTATAATATGGTGCGTATTAATTTTTTATTTTTTATGGCCAGAATCCCTCCCACTTTTTTGAAACCATTTTGTTCCATCCTGTGGTTGTGGCCATGCATGAGAAACAGCAGGTGGTGCCAGATGACAGATGGTGTGGGAGCCCGTTTCCCGGTGGGAGGGGGCGCGAGCGAGCGAGCGAGCAAGCAGGCAGACAGCTGCGAGGAGCCCGCTCGCTTGCGCCTCGCTCTCAGAAGCTCTCACTCCAGACGCACGCAAGGCGCTGTCCTTTCAGCACCACAAGCTCCGGCTGAGGAGGGAGGACTCCTGGCCGTCCTCCTCCTCTTCAAATTGGCTTGAATCTGCTCTGACCCCTCAAGAGTGCAGCGCAGTAAGTAGGCATTTGTTTTTGCTATAAACCACTCCCCAATGTCCTCCAACCCTTTCCCTTTCACTCCCACAACAACCCTATTTTGTCTAATAACATTCCATCAGCAGGGTTGACAAGAAAAATTCAGTTGTGCTGGGCTTCTGGGGCTGGGGTGGGATCACCGTTTCACTTCCAAGGGAGCTGGAAAGAAATAAATGTGATTTGTTTATTTAGTTGGCAATCTTGCAATATGGGGATTGCTAACTTTCCATGGAACCAAAAAAAAAAAAAATGGCCCTTTGCTATTGAGGAAATGGAGGCATTCCATGGCTGAATAACAGGATCAGGTTCAAGCCAAACCTTTTTTGTTTTAGGAAATTGTATCTCCTGTACAACCTACATATTGAGTCAAAGGGTACACTACACATAGGGGCATTGAGTGTATTTATTGTATTTTGGGGAGATTAATGGAAAAAAACAACCACATAATAAAATAGCAACCAAGATGGTAAGGTGAAATTTATCATACTGCAGGGTGACCCAGAATAATAGGATTTATTTTTGCACTAAGAATAAGCTTTCCACTGAGATTATATGATTATGTTAGCTCTAGTGTCTTGGATATTTTTTTAAGATTGTATATTTTGTACGTGAGCCTAGGATTTTCCTTGAGTTTCTCAAATTTGAAAGCTCTTAAGTGCCGTGGGTAGGTGGCATATCTGGATGATTAAAGAAGTTTTACTGGATGATGGGAATCATGTCAGGAAATCTAGCAGAAGATCGATGACTGATCTGTACACTGAAGCTGCTGGAGTGGAACTGTTGAGGACAGCGCTATTTTCTCTGTCGTCAGCCCTCTGTTTTCCTGCCTCACTTCCCACTGTAACTAGAATCCCACTGCTTGCCTTAGGTCTGGGAAGAAAGGCGTAAGGATGGTGAAGCTGAACAGTAACCCCAGTGAGAAGGGAACCAAGCCGCCTTCGGTTGAGGATGGCTTCCAGACCGTCCCTCTCATCACTCCCTTGGAGGTTAATCACTTACAGCTACCTGCTCCGGAAAAGGTAAAGCAGGTGCTCTTTTCCTCATCAGCCCCCCCATGCTCCCCCCTTCCCAGGAAATAAAGCAGCAAAAAATTCCACCTCCCCCAAACCCTTTCATTCCCTCATCAGCCAAATACATTCCCTTTCTTGTAAAATGTAGTTATTCCTTCCAGAGACATGACATCTCTTACGTTATTTCAGATTTATGGTAAGTGTTTATTCATTTTTTTGTTCACATATACATACATGGGCAAGAAAATAATCTTTCCTCTTAAAAGTTCCATCATAGTAGATGAATACTAATAAGCTTCTAGATGATGAAAGAGAAAATTGTCTTGATTATTTTGGGAAGGTGTTTCAAAAATTGACTGCTACAGATTTGAGGACAGAGACTTGGATGCAGTCCAGCAGGCGTTTAGTTTGCGCCTCCTAAGGCCCCATTGCTATGCTGCAAGTTGGTTATAAAAAGACACATTACGAAATCCCTATTCAGTATAACGCTTAAATTAATATAAAGCATCATGGTAAATGCAGTGCCTGAGCATTACAAAGATTGTGAGAGCATAGGAGTGGAAAAAACTAGACTCTGTTGTGGCAGAGAGGGGACTGGGAGGACAGATTAGGTAAGCTGCAGAGGAGAATATTTGAATTTGGCTTTTAAAGGTGAGTAAAAACCTCCCGGGTAGACCATTGGAGGAAAAGGCATTTAAGGCAAAGGGCACACATATGCAAATGATGGAGAGCTTTTGGGAAATAGCATGACTGAAGTAGAGTGTCTTTGGCGGAGGCGTGGCTGGAAATGAGTGGCTGGCTGATGGCACATCTCCTGACATGGGAGTAGTCCATGAGGAATGGAGGTGAGCAATTATACAAAAGTGGTGGAGTTATCCCACGGACATAGGTGGGAGAAAGGATATTGTTTAAGATCCATCTGAGAGAACTTGGGGTTTTACAATGTGAGCTTTTACCTACCATGAGAGAGAGGTTTGGAGGCAAATGATGAGGTTCCCTTGCTGAAGAGTGAACAATGGATCATTCCATTTGTTTGATTTTCTCATCGGCATCTCCAGGAGAGCATTGTGTGTCTTAACCAATTGGCTCTATCCAATGAACAGAAGAGGAGCCAAAGCTAGATAGACGTCCTGGCTGATTGGCTAAGGGTTGAGTCATCTGTTTTGAAAGTGCAGAGGTTGTCAGTATGAAAATGTGCATAAGGGTGGCAGAAATAAAGAATCCTTGAGCCATTCTGAGAAACTGGTAAAACCTTTTGAAAATAAAATTTGAACAGGCAGTTAGCACTAAAGAAATGTGAAGGAACAGTATTAATTGGGTATTGGCTACCTGTACAGCAGAGGTTCTCAGTTTTTGACTTGCATATTAGAGTCACCCGGGGAGCCTTTGAAAATCCTGATATCTGTACCAGAGCAATTGTATCAGAATCTCTGGGGGTGAGACCCAGGTGTCACTATTAATTAAGTCTTCCCAGGTGACTCCTGTGTGTAGCCAAAGTTGAGCGCCACTGTGCTAGATGCACATTACCCAGGGATTATACATCCACATTTGTGGGCAAAAGGTGAAGGACCAGAGAAATTTGGGTAGTTATCCAAATTCACGGAAGGAGTAAGTGGCAATGCTGGAATTTGATCCCAGATGTAATGGAGATTGAGGAGAAGCAGAGGGAATATTCTCTCAAGGTTTCGTGAAGTTTCAGGAAGAATCTTTACCCTTTACAGTCTCGAAGATCTCTATGTCCCTGACAGGTATGCAAGGAAAAGTGATTGGGGTGAGCTCACTTCTCCTCTTAGCTCTACACACATCTGCGGGTCATCCAGAGATATCATGGCCTCTGTCTCCCCTTACTCCCCACCCCATTTCCCACCTCCAAGGGCTTCTTTCTTTCCTTGAGAGAGGAGACACACCTGATAACCACTGAGCATCTGGTCCAGATGTCCCAAAGCCCGAAGATAATACATTGTGGACTTGCATGCATGGAAAGCAAACCAAAGTATCCTGTAAGATGCAAATCCCTAAAGGGACACATTGCCACAGGGGCACATCACAGACTCACTCTGATGTTCATGATAAAGTCTTTGTACCAGGCGAACCTCAGTGTTCTCCTCCATGACGTGGGGAGGATCACACCTACTTCACAGTGGTTGGGGCAAAGTTAGATGTGGTCTTATAAATAAAGTGCTTGGCACAAAACTAACCATAAGAGAATAAAAATTATCATTTTCATGTGCTTCTTAAATGCTAGTTGATGTTGTAAATCACAAGTACACACACACACACACACACACACAATGTTCTTTCATCCTTTCAATAGTTAATAGGACCTAATAAGGGAGTTGCTACTTTGATCCAGTTTTTAAAGACGATAAAACTCAGGCATGGATTGGTAAAGTCACTTCCCAAAGCGCAGAGTTGGTAAGCCTCCTGGCAAAATCTGGAGAACCCAGAGCCCAGGCAGCGCTCTTCTAGAACCTTCCACCTCAGCAGGAATAGGGAGCCAGCTGGTCTGGGAGTCCCCAAACTTGGACTCTAGCAAGAGCTCCGTCACCAGCCTCAGCTCAACTCCTGTGAGTTTTCTGTGCTAGGATTTAGATTTTATAATATTTATAAGAGTAAGCCAGGTTTTTTCCCCTGACATTAGAACAGATGTGTTAACAGTAAATTCCACTCAAGAAGCCAAATGCTGAGAGCAGTGTTGTGTTTACCAGCACAGACTCGGAAGCCCCTCTCTTGGGGGGTTCAGTGCTCTACCTTTTATGAGCCTACCTTGGCTGAGGACTTGAGTGAGGTTCTCTAACTGCCTCAGCCTCAGCCTCCTTGTGGGTAGAGGGGGGACTCAACCTCAAGGGGCTGTAGAGAAGGCAAGGTGAGTTCTGACACAGTTGTCAGCTCTCTCACTATGTCCAGCCAGATGGTGAGGGTTTGAAGCTAAAAAGGTTATCAGAAAGAAGTATATTTAACCCCAATGTTACATCATGGGTTTTCCTCTTGAAAATGTAAAATACGGAGTGTGCTTGGTGTGTAATACTGACAATTATCTTGTTCACTACATACTCTTTAGTATGGAATGCGAGTTTCTGGGGAAAAGGTTTTGGAGGCTAAACAGTGAGGATGAGCATGTCTGAAACCTTTGCTCTGGGCCAGGAATGGGCCATGCAGGGCATTCATAGCTGTCGTTTCAGTTAATCTTCCCAGCACCCCTGTGAGGTGAGTGTTAGTGCACCCATTTCACTGCTGGGGAAACTGAGGCTCAGATCAATGGAGTGACTTGTCCAAGCTTCACAGGGAGAGTGGAAGAGCTGGGGTTGGAACCCCGGTGCACCTGACACCACAGCTTTCCCCTCTGCACCGTGCTACCTTCGATAATGAGAAGCCTCCCATCCCCAGGCAGTGCTTCCTCAAACTCCGCATTCCCTCATCTACGGCGATGGCTTCTTCTTGAGCTCTCCTGGACATGCAGGTGGGGCCTGGGGCAATCCTGCAGAGAGAATGTCATGGCCTCCAGGGCTCCTTCTCTACCCAGTGCTAGCGGGACTGTGCATGCCTTAGGAGATGAGATTGGCTGGCCTCGTGGTTGTTTCCCCACCTCTTCTATCACATTAATCAATCATCCACAGCACACCTGCAGTAGTGCCTCTGGAGTTGTGACCAGTCCTTCTCCCAGGGAAAGCCTGTCCAGTCACCCGCACAGGGTACAGTCCTCAAATCCTGACCTTGGCACTCCAGGTCCTCCATTATCTGCCCCACTGGCTTCCATTCCTATCACTCCTCACTTTGTACCTTGAACACCAGCATGTCAGAACTAACCTAGAGCCGTGGTTTTCAACCAGGGGTGACTTTTCCGCACAGAGAGACATTTGGCAGACATTTTTAGTTGTGACAATAGGAGGAGGGATGTTTTGGGCCAGGAATACTGCTGAATATCCCACAATGCACAAAATTCCACCCCCCCACCCCCCTAAAAAAAGAATTGCCCTGCTCAAAATGTCAACAGTGCTGAGGTTGAGAAACCCCGCCCTGGAATTTTCTACACTCTCCAGGGTATTTCTTGCTCCCTCCTCTTTGCCCACGCCATTCTTTCTGCCCAGAATGCTCTCCTTGCCTCTTTGCCTGTCTGATAAGCCAGTGCTCATCTTTCTAAGCCCAGTTCAGATGGCAGCTCTCCTGGATACCTTCCCTGACCACCCATAATTATAGCTAAGGTTATACTTATTACACTGGAAGGTACTCACTCTCTCATCCAGCATGTCTATTGGGCACTTCTACGTGCCAGGCCCTATGCTAAGCTATGCATATACAGCCATGAAAAGTCAGGCATGGCCGTTGCGGGCAGAGGGACTTCAAACAAGCCGGCACACAAATAGAAATACAGAGATGCAAACTGCAAGAAGGGCTATTAAGGAAAGAATAAGGTGCTGTATTGTTAAGAGACGCTAAGACTCAAGGGGATTGGGCTTCCCTGGCGGCGCAGTGGTTGGGAGTCTGCCTGCCGATTCAGAGGACATGGGTTCGTGCCCCCCGTCCGGGAAGATCCCACATCCCGCGGAGCGGCTGGGCCCGTGAGCCATGGCCGCTGAGCCTGTGCGTCCGGAGCCTGTGCTCCGCAACAAGAGAGGCCACAGCAGTGAGAGGCCCGCGTACCGCAAAAAAAAAAAAAAAAAAAAAAAAAGACTTAAGGGGGTTAAATTATGATGGCAGGATGGTCAGGGGAGGTCCTTCTGAGGAAGGAGCCCTGGCTGAGAGATGGAGGATGGGTTGGTAACGGGAGTAGGAGGCAGAGGGACCAGCATGTGGACAGACACTGAGGGAATGGGAGGAACAGTCCGGAGGTTGGGTTGGCTGGGTCAGCTGAGGGAGGGGGAGAGACTTGGGAGATGATGTGGGGTGGGCACCAGCTCATGAGGGGCCCCGTGCATTTTTCTGAAGAGGCTTAAAGAAGAGAGTAACAGGATCAGATTTCTATTTTAGGAAGATTCCTCTGGCTGCAGTGGGCCACCCTAGGGCCAAGG